GCATTGGGAGAGACACATGGGAGTGTTGGGGGGCTCACAATTCACTCCAGCATGGCCTGATAGTGAAGCCTTTCTCTATCCCCATTCCTGTTGCCCTCTTAAAAGAAAAGTCGATCTTGTAAACAGCCAAATTAACAAAATCAGCCAACAAAGGGTGTTGTTGTTAGGTGCCTTCAGGTCCATTCCGACTCATAGCAACCTTATGCACACCGTAAATCACTGCCTAGTCCTGTGCCAACCTCACAATTGTTTCTCTTGAACCCATTGCTGCCGCTACTGTGCCAATCCAGCTCATTGGGAGTCTTCCTTGTTTTCACTGACCGTCCACTTTACCTAGCATGATGTCCTTCTCTAGGGACTGGTCCCTCCTGATAATATGTCCGACGTATGAGAGATGAAATTTCACCACCCTGGCTTCTAAGGAGCACCCTGGCTGTACTTCTTTGAAGACAAATGTGTTTGTTTTTCTGGAAGTCTACGGTATTTTTAATATTCTTCTCCAACACCATAACTCAAATGCTTCAATTCTTCTACGATCTTTCTTACCCACTGTCAAACTTTCACACGAACATGAGGCTATTGAAAGCATCATTTGGTTTCTTGATTGCTGCTTCTGTGAAAGTTGATAGTAGATCCCCAGTGAAATGGACTCTGACAACTTCAATCTTTTTTCCATTTATATGGATGTTATTTGTTGCTTCAGTGGTGAGGACTTTTGTCTTCTTTACACTGAGGTGCAACCCACAGTGAAAGCTATGGTTTTTGATCTTCATCAGTAAGTATTTTAAGTTTTCTTGCTTTCAGCAAGCGAGGTTGTATCATCTGTGTATGAGGCGTTAATGAGTCTTCCTTCAATCCTGATGCCACGTTTTTCTTCACATAACCCAGCTTCTCGGGCTATTTGCTCAGCATGCAGGTTGAATAAGTATGATGAAAGAACACAACCCTGTCGCACACCTTTCCAAATTTTAAATCTTTCTATGTTTTCTTATTCTATTGAACAACTGCCTCTTAGTCTATGTACAGATCCCTCATGAGCACAATTAAGTGTTCCGTAATACTCATACTTCACAATGTTGTCCATAGCTTGTCATGATCCACACAGTTGAAAGCCTTTGCATAGTCAATAAAGCACAGGTAAACATCTTTCTGGTATTCTCGGCTTCAAGATCCATCTGATGTCAGCAATGATGTCCCTCGTTCCACATCCTTGTCTGAATCCAGCTTGAGCCTCTAGCTGTTTCCTGTCAATGTACTGTTGCAGCCATTTAAAGATTATCTTTAGAAAAATTTTACTTGCATGTGATATTAATGGCATTTTCTGATGATTTCTGCATTCTGTTGGGTCACCTCTCTTTGGAATAGGCACAAGTATGGATGTCTTTCAATCAGTTGTCTAAGTAGCTCTCTTCCAAATTTCTTGGCGTAGATGAGTGACTGCCTCCAGTGCTGTCTCAGTTTGTTGTAATTTTTCAGTTTGTATTCCATCAATTCTCAGAGCCGTGTTCACTGCTGAAGTTTTCAGAGCACCTAGGACTTCTGCCTTCAGCACTGTGGGCTCTTGATCATATGCTACCCCTTGACATGGTTGAACATCGACCATTTCTTTTTGGTACAGTGACTCTGTGCATTTCTTACCTTTTCATCTGATGCTTTCTGCGTCGTTCAGTGTATTGACCATTACTATTATTCAGTGTCATTGAGTTAGTTCTGACTCATAACAACTCTGTATAGGGTTTCTGAAGAGCGGCTCGTGGCTCAAACTGACCTTGCAGTCCAGTTCGTTACCCAGTAGCGCCACAATCCTTCAATATTCCAAGTCAAGGCTTGAATTTTTTCTTCAGTTCTTTTAGCTCAAGAAATACTGAGCGTGTTCTTCCCTTTTGGTTTTCTAACTCTAGGTCTTTGCACATTTCATTATAATACTTGACTTTTTCTATAATACTTGACTTTGTCTTCTCGAGTTGCCCTTTGAAAAATTCTATGCAGCTCTTTTACCTCCTCATTTCTTCCATTTGCTTAGCATCTTCATGCAGGAGAGCAAGTTTTAAAGTCTTTTCTGACATCCAGTTTAGTCTTTTCCTTCTTTCTTTTCTCCTTTAATGACCTTTTTGTTTTCTTCCTGTGTGATGTTCTTGATATCATCCCACAACTCTTCTGGTCTTCCGTCATAACTGTCTAATGCATCAAATCTGTTCTTCAGATGATCTCTAAATTCAGGTGGGAGATGTTCAAGGTCATATTTTGCTCTCATGGACTTGCTTTAATTTTCTTCAGCTTCAACCTGAACTTGCATAGGAGCCATTGATGGTTTATTCCACAATCTGCCCCTGGTTTTGCCTTGGCTGATGATATGGAGCTTTTCCACTGTCTCTCATACAGATGTAGTCAATTTGATTTTTGCGTATTCAATCTGGTGAGGTCCATATGTATAATCGTCTTTTATGTTGTTTAAAAAAGTCTTTATGATGAAGAAGTCATTGGTCTTGCAAAATTCTATTATGCGATCTCCAGCAATGTTTCCATCACCAATGCTAGATTTTCCCACCACTGATCCTTCCTCTGTTTCCAACCTTTGCATTCCAATCACCAGTAATTGTAAGCACATCTTGATTGCATGTTTGATCAATTTCAGACAGAAGACGTTGGTAGAATTCTTCAATTTCACCATCACTGGCTTTAGTAGTTGGTGAGTAAATTTGAATAATAGTGGTATTAACTGGCCTTCCTTGTTGTTGTTGTTAAGTGCCATCAAGTCAGTTCCAACCCACAGCGACCCTGTATAGGGCTTCCGAGGAGCGTCTGGTGAACTTGAACCACCGGCCTTGTGGTTCAAACTGACTTTGCAGTCTAGTACATTAACAACAGCGCCACACCAAGACTCTGATCTTCCTTGTGGGTGCATGGATATCATCCTATCACAGACAGCTTTGTACTTCATGACAGATCTTGATATGTTCTTTTTGATGATGAATATGACACCATTCCTCTTCAATTTGTCATTCCTGGCATAGTAAACCATGTGATTGTCAGATTCAAAATGCCCGATATCAGTCCATTTTAGCTCATGAATGCCTAGGAGATCTGGTAGCAGACTGCATATGAATCGGGCTGCGAACCTCAGGGTCATCGGTTCGAAATTACCAGCTGTTCTGCGGGAGAAAGATGAGGCTTTCTGCTCCCATAAAGATTTATAGCCTGTACCAGGTCGTTCTGAGTCGGAACCAACTCCACAGCACATAACAACAACAACAATGCCTAGAATAATGATCTTTATGCATTCCATTTCATTTTTGACAACTTCCAATTTTCCTGGATTCATACTTTGTACATTCCATGTTCTGATTATTAATGGATGTTTACAGCCATTCCTCATTTTGAGTTGTGCCCAACAAAAGGATGTATTTACTCTTCAATTCCAGCAGTGTTGGTAACTTTGCAAGACGTAGTCAGATGCTTCAAATCCTCGAGGCTTTGCCTGGGTCTCCCTTCCCACATCCATGAAGTAAGTGCAGTGATGCCTGTTCCAGAGAGCCTGCAGGGGAATCAGTGTAGCAGCAACAGCACAGTGCCCTCACTTGGTGACAGCGAACACAGGGACCCATGGATGTCAAATGAGGCTCTCTCATGTGGCCCTGGAGGCCAGGGTTGTCCTCTCTTCGCTCAGAGATGAGCCTGAACTAGTCATTGTGCTCACCAGCTCCCATCATTTTGGCAGGCCACCATGTGCATTTGTGTATTTATGGTTGGCTCTCCCAGGAAAACTTGACTCTGAAGGAAGCCTAGGTGGTTTGAATAACACACGGATACATTGTAGCTTAGATCAAAGTTTTGCCTTCACACACTGGCCAGAGTGAATGAAGTAGAACCTCTTTTGTTGGATCAGCATCTTTCTAAGCACCTCAGTGGGTAACTATCTCAAGTGAAAAGCATTAGTCAGAGCTAGAATTTGTGAGGAGTTTCCAGTATCTTCAAGGAACCCTGGTGGCACTGTGGGTTAGGCATCAGGTTGCTAACTTAAATGTCAACAGTTCAAACCCACCATCCGCTACTTGGGAGAAAGATGAGGTTGCTCCTATAAAGATTTACCGTCTTGGAAACCCTGCCTAGGGACATGAGGAGTTGGAATCTACTCAATGGCAATGGGTTTGGTCTCTGGCATCCTCTACGGGTGATGACCCTTGGGAATGTAGAATTGCTAGATCTGGGCCCCAAGAAAATCCTTGAGACTCGGCTCCTTTGGGTCTCCCAGGCCCCATAGGTCCCCCAAGTAGCTGAGTTCTACAGAGGTCCCCCAGACATCGAGAAACCACACACCTCCTGCTGTTGTGTGACATCAAGTCAGTTCCATTTCAGCGTCTCAAAGGACAGAGGGGGATATTTTCTAGGATGTAATATTTACAGGAGCAACTGAACTCTTAGTTAGCAGCCAAGTGCTTAACCATTGTGCCACCAGGGATCTTGCACACTGCCTGTTGTTGTTGTTGTTGTTGTTGTTGCTATTCAGTGCCATTGTGTCAGCTCTGACTCATAGCGACCCTGTATATGGTTTCTGAGGAGCCACTGGTGAATTTGAACTCCTGACCTTGCAGTCCAGTGTTCATCCTACAGCGCCAGAGCAGGACTCCTGCACGCCACCTAGACTACCTGAAAACACCCATCAACGTGGGATTGTGGGATTGAGTCTGACTCCTGTAGCCACCATACATGTCAGAGCAGAACTGCGCTCCTGTGGGGTTTCAACGGCCGGTTTGCCAAGCCTTCTTCCAAAGCATCTCTGGGTAGACTTGAACCTCCCACCTTATGGCTAGCAGCCAAACGCACTGATCTTTTGCACCTCCCAAGGACCCCACTCCAAAGCTCAGAACAGCATACTCACGATGAACTAACTCTCTGCTTCCCCCAGTTAGAGCTGCGGTTACACAGGATTCCCACGATCGGTGGGAAACCGAGGGGCCCAGGTCCTGCATCTGCGCCTGCTCATCAAATAAAACAGCAAGATGACAATTCTCTCAGACGTGCGAGCGGAGTACTTGGAGCAAGTCTCTTCCATCGTCCTCAAATTCAAACCCGACAAGTGGACCAAGATGCTGGGGGCTGAGGAGTATGTGGCCATGCTCACAGAATTCCTAGAGAAACCAGATGTCCCCGTCTTGGTGATGACACTCAGTCCAGCCGGCATGATCATCCCCTACCTGGGCTTCCCAGCCTCTCTCAAGTCCAAAGCCATCTATTTCATCAAGACCAGACCTGTGAGCGTCACCAGGGACAACTACAAGGCCCTCCTGCTCTACGGAGACATCAGCCCTGAGCCCGTGGACCAGCTGATCGCTGTGGTGGAGGAGGTGGGTGCTGGCGGCTGCTCTGGGCTCTGGGGCTCGGCAAATGCTGTCTCTGTTTGTCTGGCGCATCACCTGACCAGCTGAGTTAGACCGGCACCCAACAAAACCCCCAGACCCTGGTCCCAACACCTTGCTCCAAAGTGGACTCAGCCCCCACCCCCTTCTCTCTTGATTCCATTAGAACGGGAGGCGGGTGGCCCAGTGGGTTAAGCATTGGACTGTCAACCTAAAGGTTGGTGGTTTAAGTCGACCTAGAAAGGCCTGGGAAAGGATTTTTTACTTACAAACTCTTGGTGCTGGTCTACCCCGCACACATGGGTTACCATGAATTGGAATCTGCTCAATGGTAATGAACAACAAATGTGCTGGCCACACACCGCCCATGCCGGTAGCCAGCACGTAGGTTAGTGCCGATGAGTCAGTTCTGACTCATCATGACCTCTTCTGAGAAGCGGCTGGTGGATTTGAACCACCCACCTTGCAGTTCAAACTGACCTTGCGGTCCAGTGCTTATATCACTGTCCCACCACGAGGACTCCAGTGTACAGAGAGCTTTCCCAGTTCTGAGACATGGGGCGAGGAGGATCCTGTTTTCTGCATCTCTCCGCTATGTGTCTCCTTCCTGGGGTCATTCTTGGAGGATGCAGAAGGTGAGACACACTTTGGGGAGTCAAAGCTGCCATCTGTAAAGTGGGTACACATGTCCATGACTTGAATTCCTTAGGAAAGTGAACAGGAAGCTGGGGCCACTTGGCATGGTCCTGGAGCCACTTGGCGTGTCTGACTCAGAAGCCCACGGAGGCCCCATGCTGAAGACACTAGGCACTCCGACGTTATGGTTCAGCATGGAGCGTGTGTTGTTGTGCCTGCTCCCTGGTCTCCCTGAGAGCTGGGCTGCTGCTGCTGGTCTAAGGTCTCGAGAGGAACAGCTCATGTTTTTCGGGGCTTGGACACTGTGACCCTCAGCCTCCCCAGGGTACAGGCAGAACCAATGCAGTGCCTCCTTTCAGGAACTCTGAAAGCCCAAACCCCACTGACATGGAGTCAGTTTTGACGCAGAGCGACAGAGCAGTAGAACAGAGCAGACCTGCCCTGGGAGGTTCCCGAGGAGTGACCGCCACACCTTGATCCCTCCCAGGTCCTGTACTCCCTGTTAAATCAGACGGAGAACATGAGTGGGTGGCCCCACGTGGTTTCTGAGGACATTGTGAAGCAAATCCACAAGCTGAAAAATGAGATGTTTGTGATGGGGGGCAAGATCAAAGGGAAGACCCTCCTGCCCGTCCCCGAGCACCTGGGCAGCCTGGATGGTGCCCTGGAGTCTGTGGAAAGGTAAGGCAGGAGAGGAGGCGAGTCAGGTGCTCACCCACAGGGACGCAACAGGGATGAGGACATGGGGCTATCCAGAGAGTAGAGGAAGGAACCTTTGGGGGCTATACATAGACCCCGTGAGAAGCCAGGGGGCTGGAGGCCACTGTTCTGAGGTGAGATTCTTGGAACAGACCCATCTCTCTGAGGACAATAAGTCTTCCGTGGACCCTCCACTTGGGCAGGAGGGCCCCCTTCACCTGTCCAGGGAGGAAACCAGGGCAGCGAGGTCAGGCTACATGCTGGTGGTGGCTGGTGGGGAGGGACAGACTCCCCACCATGTCCCACGGGAACACAAGGAGTGCTCTCCCCAGCCTCAGGCCTGGCAGGATGCCCCAAGTCTTGGACGACTCGTTGCTGCATGCCATGGAGACCATCATCATCGACTGGTCCCATCAGATCCGGGACGTGCTGAGCAAGAACTCTGCCCAGGCCCTGCTGGAAGGGCTGCACCCACTGCCCCGGGTTGAGTTTGAATTCTGGGATGCCCGGCTGATGAACCTCAAGTGCATCCATGACCAGGTAAGGTGAAGAGTCTTGGTGAGGCTGCTCCCTATTGGCTGTATGCCTGGTTCGACTCTCCACCTCTCTGTGCTGGCCTGAGGGGCCAGGATGATGATGGTGGTGGTTGTTAGCTGCCGGAGTTGCCCCAACTCACGGGAACTCCACGTACAATGGAAGGAAACACTCTGCCATCCTCGGACCCATTGAGACATACAGGGTTGTCTTTGGCTGATTTTCAGGGGTAGGTTGCCAGGCCTTTCTTCCTAGTCTCTCTTAGTCTGGAAGCTCGGCTCCAGAGTCTGGACTAGCCCGCCGAGTCCTCAGCCTCCCTCCAGCCACAGGGCTAAACTGTCCTTGGTGGTCTTCCTTCTCAGCTCAACAGACCCAAAGTCAACAAGATAGTGGAGATCCTAGAACGGGCCAAAAGCTGCTACTGGCCAGCCCTGCAAAATGTCTATATGAACGTCACTGAAGGTGAGCCAATGACAAGATGCCTTGGAGCGGGGGTGCCCACTCCTCGCGGGTGAGCAGCTCCCTCAGTCCCTCCTGTGAGCAGGGCCCGGTTTCTCCAAAGCTCCAGAACCAAGTTACCAGGGAGTTGGCTCTGACACAAGGAGCCCCTATGTGTGTCAGAGTAGAACTGCACACCTTAGGGGGTTCAGTGGTTGATTGTTCATAAGTCAATGGTGAGGACTTTCTTCTGAGGTGTCTCTGGGTGGATTCGAACTTCCAATCTCACAGTTAGCAGCCGTGTGCCCCACCCAGGTTTCCTAAGACAAAGAGAGTGCCCCCCATCCTGTGGGATCGCGGGAGGAGGGGACAGTTGATGAGTGTTTGTCCTGTGTAGGGTTGCAGGAAGCCAACGACATTGTCCTCTATCTGAAGCCACTGCGAATTCTGCTGGAGGAAATGGAGCAAGCTGACTTCACAGCGGTGTGTAGGATATGGGCACAGGGGGCTGGGGATGGCCTCTTGCTTCCCCTTGGGGGATTCTGCCCTGGAGAATAAGTGTGTCCCCCACCCAGAGAGGAGGAGTCACATGCTGCTACTGAGGTCTGAGTTGGTCCTGCGTTCCTCTTCCAGCTCCCGACCTTCATTGCTAAGGTGCTGTATACCATCTGCTTCATCTGGGCCACGTCCGAGCACTACAACACACCTTCCCGGATCATTGTCATGCTGCAGGGGGTCTGCAACCAGATCATCGAGATGGTAGGTAGCCCACTGCCCGCTGCCCACTCCCCACCTGCCCTCCCGCCCTACCAGAGCCTAAGCATGGCCCTGAGCTAAGGTTGGGTCTTTGGGATTGGGGAGGCTTGCTAGTCCGGGAGGAGAAATGTCAGAGCACACAAGCCTTGTTGTTGTTGTTGTTAAGTGCCATCAAGAAAGATGTGGCGGTCAGCTTCTATAAAGATTTGCCATCTCAGAAACCCTATGAGGCAGTTCTATCGGCCTAAAGGGTTGATATGAGTCAGAATCAGCAGTGGATTCAAAAAGACCCAGTTGCCATAGAATTGTCACTGACTCATGCCAGCTCTGTGTGTGTCAGAGTGGAACTGTGCCCACAGGGTTCTCAGTGGATGATTATTTCATAAGTAGATCCCACTCATGGTGCCCCGTGTGTGTCAGAGTAGAACTGTGTCCACAGGGTTCTCAGTGGATGATTTTTCATAAGTAGATCCCACTCATGGTGCCCCCGTGTGTGTGTCAGAGTAGAACTGTGCCCACAGGGTTCTCAGTGGATGATTTTTTTGGAAGTAGATCACCAGGCCTTTCTTCCAAGTTTCCTCTGGGTGGACTCGAACTTCCAACCTTTCATTTGCAGTCAAGTGCACTCACAGTTTGCACCACCCTTGGCCTCCTTCAGCCCCTACCTAAAACCAAACCCACTGGTAATCCTTAAGGACAGAGTAGAACTGCCCCATAGGATTTCCAAAGTCGTCAATCTTTACAGAAGCAGACTGCCATGTTTTTCTCCTGTGGGTCTGCTGGCAGATTCAAATCACTAACATTTTGATTTGAGCAGCTGAGGGCTTTAACGACTCTTCTGCTGCTATTAAATGTCATCAAGTCAGTTCCAACCCATAGTGACCCTGTATAGAATTCCTGAGTCCTGATGTGGCCCGCGGGATAATGCGCTGGACTGCAAGGTTGGTTTGAACCACAGGGTCGGCAGTTCAAGCTCATCAGTAGCTTCTCGGAAACACCACACAGGGTCACTAGGAGTTGAAACCGAGCTCAACAACATTAGCAACAACATAGGCTTTCTAGGGTCGTAAATCTTTGTGGGAGCAGAAAGCCTCCTCTTTCTCCCTCGGTGTGCCTGGTGGCCTCAAACCAAAACCCTATGATTTTTAGCCCACAGAGCAGCCTTGTTTCCCAGAGAGCCCTAAGTTGTTGTTACATGCTGTCAAGTCAATTCTGACTCATAGTGACCCTGTATAGTCTGTCTGAGGAGTGGCTGGTGGGTTTGAACCACCAACCTTGTGGTTCACAGTCCAGTGTTTAGCCTACAGCGCTATACTAGGAGTTGTAAGTAACTATTGCAAAAAGCCATTTCTGTGGGAGTCTTAGCACACAGAGTCATGGAAGAAAGTCCTGGCAATCTTCTGTAAAACACAGCCAAGAAAACACAGCTCTGCTTTGTAACACACATTTCTGAAACGACTTGAAGACTCTGGTTTTGGTGTTTGGTTTAGCCCCTGGGGAGCAGCACAACATCCTGGAAACACCCCACTGGCTGGCAGGTGGGTGGGCACATGTATCCCAGGGACAGCTGACAGTCCGAAGCAGCAAACGTGTAAGGGCATCACCCACAACAACAGCACGTCAGAACTCTGCCTTGTCACCTTCTGGTTCCTTCAGACGAGAGCTTACCTGAGCCCGGAGGAAGTGCTGAAGGGGCTGCAGGGTGAGATCGAGGAAGTCCTGAGCGGCATCTCGCTGTCCGTGAACGTGCTGAAGGAACTTTACCGGACGTACGACTTCTGCTGTGCAAACATGAAGGTTTTCTTCAAGGTACCTCTTGATTCAGCAGAGCAAGAACGTTTGCATTGCTCCCAACACTGGATGGAGCTCATGGAAAAGACCATAGCAAGAAGTAACTTCCCTCTCTCTCCCCGCAGCACAACAAAGAGCCGGTGCCCTGGGAGTTCCCTTCTTCCCTTGCGTTCTCCAGAATGAATTCCTTCTTTCATCGTATCCAGACCATTGAGGTAACCATGACCTGTGACCACTTCCCAGACTGCCCTGGGCTTAGGGTAGCTGTCACTTCCACCCTTAGTATGAGAGAAGGAAATGTTGCCTGGCTCTCTGACTGCTGGTTTGTGACATCCACTGTGGATGTTGAGTGTGGTCCACAGGCTTTGCACTGACACATGTTTGGAAGTAGATCTCCAGGACTTTCTTCCTAGTCTCCCTTAGTCTGGAAGTTCTGCTGACACCTGTCCACCATGGATATTTGAAATATCAGTGGCTTGGCTTCTGGCGTTATAGCCACTGACAAGCTACCCCAGGACGACAGACTGACAGACAGGTTGTGAGCTTCATCCTTTCGTCCTTTAATCTCCCAGTGTTGTGGTTGTATGCTGTAGAGCTGGTCCTGACTCATAGCGACCCTATATAGGGTTTCTGAGGTTGTAAATGTAAATCTTTATGGGAGCAGAAAGCCTCATCTTTGTCCCGTGGAACAGTTGGTAAGATTTGAACTGCTGACCTTGTGGTGAACAGTCCAACAAGTAACCCACTACGCTAAGTGTGTGTTAAGTGCCGTCGAGTTGGTTCCGACTCATAGCGACCTTTAAAAGGCTTCTAAGAAGCAGTGGATGAGTTTGAACTGCCGACCTTGCAGTTAGCAGTTCAGTGTTTATCCAATAGTAATTTACACCAGGAAAAGGAAAAAAAAAACTCGGCCAAACACCTATGTCATGGGGACACTGAGTCATGGAGCAGCCATCTCCACGCCCACAGTTAAGAGCCAACACCCAGTGACCCATCAGTGCCTGTCAAGGGAGAGATTCATGACAAACACAATAACCATATCCGGGAAGCTGGAGAGGTCCAGGAGAGGAGTTGTTGTTAAGTGCCATCGAGTCGGTTCCAACACACAGCCATCCTGTCTAGGGTTTCCGAGGAATGGCTGGTTAGCTTGAATCACCGACCTTACGGTTCAAACCAACTTTGCAGTCCAGAATGTTAACTTGCAGCGCCACATCAGGACTCCACAGGAGAACTAGTGGGGTGGGATTAATACCCCTAAAGACCGAAGAAGGCCCCCACAGGAGCACTGGGTGGAGACACCATGAGGTGGGAGCCATATAGCAAACTCACATTTTAAAAAGGGAGAGGACTAGAGAGGTGAACAAAGAAAGTTGTGCTTTCGGTCCTTCAACCTGCGGTAAGGTTTGGTTTTTGTTGTGTAAGTGTGCACATGTTACTCATATCACAAAGGGGAGGGAGGGGCCGATGAGATGAGGCAGCCTGTTTCCGTAAAGACTGACAGCTTCTGACCCGAGAGTGCCGGCTGGCTCTGTCCTATATAGGGTCGCTATGAGTTGGAATCGAATCAATGTCAGTTTTTGGTTCTGGTGTCTGGCCTCGTCCTAGGTCCATGTGGGAGGGTCTGTGAGTCTCCTTTGAGTCCTTTGGAGAAGGAGGTACATTGCAGTAAGCCGTCTTCCGAAACACTAGTGTGTGTGATTCGGACCTTTGGTTTCCCACAACAACAGGGCTCTGGTAGAGCACACCCCGGCCAGCAATGATGATGACTATACAGTGGGTGTCACTTTCTCTCTCCCTCAGGATCTTTACAAAACAGCTATCGAGTTTCTGAAGCTGGAGAAAATTGAGCTCGGGGGCGTCCGGGGGAACATCCTGGGAAACCTGATGATCCAGGTCTATGATGAAGTCTCCGAGCTGGTGAAGGTGTTTGCTGACTGCAAATACGACCCCCTGGACCCTGGGGATTTGGTAAGTTGGGGGCGTTGGTCACGTCATCGAGGAAACACCTGAGAAAATTGAATGACACGGGGAGGGGGGGACATGTGTCCCCATGTGTTCGCCACCCCAACACTTTTGACAGTTGCTGTCACCATGACAACAGTGGTCTCTACCTGGGATTTAAACCCTGAGTGCCCTCCCCGGGGACTGAAAATCCCCCACGGTCCTGCTTTGCACACCCATGAGAGGATTACCATCCTGTTTTACTTTCAGAGATTTGATGAGGATTATGCTGACTTTGAGACCAAAATTCGTGATCTGGACAGGAGACTGGCCACCATCTTCTGCCAAGCGTTTGATGACTGTCCCTCGATTGAGTCATGTACAAAGGTGTGTGGGGGCAGGACCTCTATCTGGACAGGTGGGATTTCTAACAGAGACCCTGGGTGGTCCACACAGTCAGGCGCTTGACTACCAAGCTAGAAGTACCTGGGAAGAAAGGTCTGGAAATCTTCGACGGAAAGATCACAGCCTTGAAAACCCCAGGAACGTAGCTGTACTCTGACACACATGGGGTCAACATGAGTCGGATTTAACGCAGCAGCAGCTGGTTTGGTGTTTGCGTTGCTCTGGCCCATGTGGAAGTTTGTCTTTAATGGACACATGAAAGCATTTGACTCTGGGACCCAAGCTGCTCGCTGTGTGGCCTGGCTCCACTCAATCCTCCTGCTGGTCTGAGACCAGCACAGCTTACCCCTGGGGCCAGTCTTATTTCCAGCTTCCTGGGGACACCACGCTGTGACTCTGTATGGAAACCTTTACAAGAGTTGGCCCGTTCCCTCCCATTCAACTTGCAGGAACGCCTTTTAAAGCCACACAGAAAATGGAGACCAACCCATGAAGGGGTCATCTCAGCCTTGTTTGAAATCTCCAATCCACAGAACTTCACAGCCATCACCCAAAACGAAACCTTGTACCTAGTAACAGTCACACCCCATTTCTTTCCAAGGCCCCAAACCCTAGGCAACCAACTACTAGTGCACTTGCTGTCTCTGTCCTTGGGCTGGGACACATGGAAACCCCATGTGACAGAGTAGGGCGGCAGCGCAGGGTTTCCAAACCCGGTGCTACAGATTCCCAGGTCTTTTCTCCCTTGTAGCAGCAGGTGGTTTCGAACCGCCGACCTTTACGTTCACTGCCTAGTGCTTAACCAAGTAACCACCAAGTCTCCTCTTTGTCTCCATAGACTTTCTTATGGTCACATGGTGTTTTCCAAAAAATTTGAATTTAAAATTTTTAGAATTGCGAAATCTCACAGCGTTTAGGAATGTAGATAGTCCTGATGGATGTCTGAATGTCCACCCTCTCTTGGAAAAGCCCACTTCCCAATAAGCTCACCCTCACAGGTACGGGAGGTTAGGACATCTACATGTCCCTTTGGGGACCCATTTCAGCTCACTGGAGACCACGTGTTTGCTCACCCCTAAAGCCTGGCATGGGCACACCCTCAACAGTCATGGGGGCAGGATACAGAAGGAAGAGCAGGCGGGAGACATTGACTCAGACACACCTCTCCCTCTGCCCCCAGCTCCTGCACATGTGTGGAGGGCTCCTGGAGCGGCCTTTGATCCTTGTGGAGGTGGTGCCCAGGTATTCGGTCATGTTGGACCTCTTTGACGCGGAGCTAGACAACACCAAGATCTTGTACGATGCCCAGATGGCAGCTTCCCAGGATGGGAACATTCCCCCGATCCACAAGAACATGCCCCCGGTGGCTGGACAGCTCAAGTGGAGCCTGGAGCTGCAGGGGAGACTGCAGGCATCCATGCGGGACATGAAGCACATTGACCATCCGTGAGTCGTCCATGCCAGCTGGGAGAGGGAGACGCCTGCCCAACTAAACCATCCCCTCTCCATGTTGGCAGAACCATTATCTCCCAAACCCAAATCCCAGCCCTTCATGTCCTCTCCCTCGTCCCTTCGCCATCTCATGGGTATGATTCAGGGTGTAGCTCTCTGTCCCCACCCCTGACCGTCAGCCTTTACAAAACCGAGTTGTCTCCCCACATTGGCACCTGGGACCTAGAAGAACATCTTAGTAGAAGGGCATTGCTTAACACAGTCAAGTTTCTGGCCAAGCCTGGAACTGATGGCTTCATCTGCCCGTCATCCCAGGGTCATGTCCAGCATCGAGGCCAAGATGATCTTCCAGAAATATTATGAAATGATGGAACTGCTGAAAAATTGCCGAGAGAAGACCTACCAAGAGTGGGCAGCTCGAGTGGACCAGGACTGTCACTTCAACCTGGGACAGCCCCTCATCCAGCGTAACCCCACGACGAAACTCATCCAAGTCAACTTCAGCAAGGCGGTGGGTGCCATCTTGCCGTTGCATCTCAAGGGCAAACCCACGTCAGGTTGCTACACCTGGGAGCTAGGGTTTTCATGGCATGAGGCAAGGGCACGTCCGCCAGGCTTGCCACTGTGCCAAGGCTCCTTCCCTTATTCCACCAGCATATGGTCCTACTAAAAGTTCATTTGTATACCAGCCTTAGCCAGAAACTTTATTGTGTTAAAGCATGCCTTTCTATTAAGATGAAAACTAAGTCTCAAAACCCAGGCTGAGTTAATCTATAAGAAGAAAGCCTAGCTTGGTACCCTCTCATGATATCTGAAGCAGAACCATCTATTTGAAAGCTTCAGAAAAATCTTTGCAGGATCAGAACAAAATGATCCTCCGATAAAGTCAGGCAAGGCACAGAGAGTTCTGGTTGGAGTGTTGCGGAGTGTGTGTTCCAGGGTTACTTTGGGCTTATTCAGAGGAAGGGCGCTCGAGAGGGTCCGGACCGGGTGGGAGGAAGGAGATGAAAGGAGGATAGATACTAGCCGGGGCCCAGAAGAAACCCTGAAACCATTCTCCAAGCAACTTGTTGGGGGGAAGAGAGTGAAGCTAAGGAAGCCCTCCAATGGCATCCACCCAGCTGTGGTGCCAACACCTCCTAGCAGAGAGCCAGTAAGTGGGGCAACTGCGCCCCAGTCCTTCCAATGAACCTCCCTCCCCAAACACCGCCTCCCACCAGCTCTGAAACACCCTCAGTCTGTACCAGCAGCCCTGCCTTTTTGTTGCTAAGGGGTAGACCACTAAGGTCACCTTGTGACATGACCTTTCGTCTTCATTGGCTGCGTAGTTGGTGGCAGTCCTGAGAGAGGTGAAGTATCTGACCTTTCAGCAGCAAAAAGAGATGCCAGACAGCGCCGAAAGCCTCTTCTCCCAGAATGAAACCTTCCGGAAGTTTGTGGGCAACTTGGAGCTCATTGTTGGGTGGTACAATGAGGTAAGCTGGCATCGCTTTGGTTTTGTTTGGTTTTTAGTTCTTGCCAAGTTTCGGTTTTTGTGTAGACCAAGCACAAGTGGAGGGCTGCCAAGAATCGAATAAATGAGGATATTTTCATATTCAAATAGGCCTCTGGCTGCAGCAAAGATGGTGACAGCTCACAACAGCTGATGAGGGAAGCAGCCCGGCTTTCACTGCGCGTTAGATGATGTGACATGGTTCTTTATGGGGCTTTGCTCTCCTAAATATGTTTTGCTGTGGATATTAAACTCTTCCCACAATGCTTGCATTGTTGCTGTTGTTGTTAGGTCCAGTCGAGTCAGTTCCGGCTCCTAGCAATCCTAGGGATGCACAACAGAATAAAGTAGTTCCCAGACCTGAGCCATCCACACCGAATTCCTAGGTTTCAGCTCACTGTTACCGCCACTGTGTCGCTCCATCTTACCCACTGTTTCCCTCTTTTTTTTTTTTTTGGCAGCACTTTTATGGTTTTATTTAGCCCAAATAAAACTCGAAAACAGGCTGTCTGTTCATTGTCTTCGCTGCACAGCCTGGCCTTAGGACTGGTGACTCCGCTGGCCAGCTGGGCGCTCTCTCCACATGACTCTGCGGTTCTTGCAGGAGATGTCGTGCGTGGTCTCTGCGCAGTCAGATCTGTTGAACATCAGCAGCACCGCCAGCCCTTTGACGCTGTGGACCAGGAACATGCACAAGGCACTGGGGCAGCATGTGTTTTGTCTTCTTGTTGCTCCCATAACCAATGTTGGGCGTTAAGATCTGGCCCTTACATCTTCTCCGCACCCTGTTGTCAATGCCTCTGGGCTTGCGCCAGTTATGCTTAATTTTGACATAACGATCTGATTGATGCCGGATGAACTCCTTGGTCCTCTTTTTGATGATCTTGGGCTTCACCAGGGGTCCGAGGGCAGTCATGAAGCCGGTCGAGATGGCCGCCTCCTCCGTAGGCAGCACAGATGAAGAGAGAGGGGCTGTCTCCCTCTTTTTCCCTGACCCTCCACTTTACCGAGCGTGATGTCCTCCTCCGAGGACTGGTGCCTCCTGATACCATGTCCAGAGTACAAGAGATGAACTCTCCTCTTCTTTACTTGTAAGGACCATTCTGACTGGACTTCTCCCAAGACAGATTTGTTCATCCTTCTAGTAGCCATGATATGTTTAATATTCTTCTCCAACACCATGACTAAAATGCATCGATTCTGCTCCAGCCTCCCTTGTTCACTGTCCAGCTTTCACATGCCTGTCGGACAATTGAAAAGACCAGGGCTTGGGTCAGGCACACCTTAGTCCTCAAAGTGCCATCGTGGCTTTTTAAACACTTTTGTAGCAGATTTGCCCAACGGAATATGTTATTTGCTTTCTTGACTGCTGCTTCTGCGAACATTGTGGATCCAAGCAAAATAAAATTCTTGACAACTTCAGGCCTTTCTCCATTTATCTTGATGTTGGTTGGTCCCATGGTGAGGATTTTTGTCTTCTTTATATTGAGATGCAACCCATACCAAAGGCTGTGTGGTCTTTAGCCTTCATCAGTAAGTGATTCAAATCCTCTTCACTTCCAAGGTTGGCATACTGCAGATTATTAATGCGTCTTCCTCGAATCCTGATGCCTCGCTCTTCAGATAGTCCAGCTTCTTGGATTACTAGTTCATTTTACAGACTGAGTACATATGGTGAAACAAGACAAGCCTGGAGTACACACCTTCTCTGATTTTAACCCATCCAGTATGTGTGGCACTGCGAGTTAATGCCCTGGACTGCAAAGTTGGTTTGAACTGCAAGGTTGGCGGTTCAGTCTCACTAGTTGCTCCTCGGAAACCCTATACAGGATCGCTATGGGTCGGCACCAACTCAACAACACTTAACAACAACAGTATCTCTTGTTCTGTCCAAACAACCGCCTCTTGATCTGTGTACTGGTTCCTCATGAGCACAATTAAATGTTCTGGAATACTCATTCTCCACAATATTGTCCCTAGTTTGCCATGATCCATGCAATTGGAAGTCTTTACATAGTTGATTAAGAAAAGTAAACATCTGTCTGGTATTCTCTGCTTTTAGCCAAGATCCATCTGATGTCAGCAATGGTATCCCTCATCAGTGTCCTGATACAATCTTGAAACCTAAAACCGTAAACATGAGACAGCTTCAAAAAATTCCTGGAAAAGTTCTATTCTCTTTTCATTCCATTTTCCCAGGAGCTTTTTGAAGCCTCCTCATATCTCCTGAAATCTTCTTAAAACCAAACCATGGTTTAGCTCACTGTGCCCTGTGAGATCTGTCTCTGTGGGATTAAAGTGACCACAGCGGCTGGAAAGAGGAGATGGAAATGGAGGGATGCTGAGTGCCTATTGACGGAGGAACAGCACCTGTGAGAGAAGAATGTCACAGAGCTCAAAGAAGTTTGTCACTGAAGAGCTCGGGTCGAAACTGGTGAATGTGTGTATGTCCTGCTAAGGACATTCTCAGCAACAAAAGTCAAAGAAAATGTCTTTTTTTAAGTGGTGAGGGGATGTTTATTGGATATCAGACTTGGATGAGAAACTCTCAGAGGTCCCTAGTGAGGATGTTATGTGTGAAGGTGCTGCCCTGAAGATAAACTACTGAAGGACCCGCAGAGTCCGCTGTCCACCCTCAGCCTTCTGGTTCCAGAACCCTTGATTCCTGGTGCTGGTCTGGTCTGAGGACTTAACACAAGTGTTCTGACTCTCAAGAGCTTGATGCGAAACAAGAGTTCCCAAGTTGAATAGACTTGGGGCACAGTCCCGTCTAACGCTGGAGATGTTCAAAGCATCTTCTTGGTTGGAGGCCTGGAGAACATGAACTTGAGGCATAGGGGGGTCCCCCTTTTTTTTAAAGTTTTTATGTTGAATTGAGTGACAGTTTATATGGGAGAATATCGGTTTTACACTCATCATTTCATTGCAATGATTACAATCTCCTCCGTGCATCATCTTTCAACAATATTTGATTCTATTCCCTTCTGGGTGTTTTTTGTTTTGTTTTGTTTTTTGTAGGGGGTGGGTGACGTACACAGAAACACTCAGGAATATATAATCATTTAAGCAACCAAAGGACACATTCTGCAAGCCTGCCTCCTGGCCGCCAGTACACAGCCTTTGCACCCCGTTTCTTATAGACCCCAGCCACAGATCCTGGGAAGGGCTGCTGTTTGCAGCAAGCTACACTATGGGTCAGAATTGACTCGACGGCACTTCACAACAACAACAACAAGCGTAGATTAGGCCAGGAATTATGATTTGTTGTGGTCCGACACTAACCTCAGGTATAGCTCCCTGACATTCAGTGTTCACCAAGTTGTCTCCATTCCCAAATTCGTTTTAAATGTTGAAATCTCCTGAGATGTCGTTCTAGATCATTCCATCAATTGACACCAATTGTCAATGTCGCCATGAGTACTGAGTAGCACCTTCCTTCAGGGACTAGAACAATTGGCTGGTTTGGGAACTCCACCCTGAGGTCTGAGCCTTTATTTTACAGATAAAGACCACAGTGATGCCCGTGGAATATCCCCTCATTAAGTCAGAATTGGAAGCAATTGATGTCAAGTTATTGGCTGCAGAAACGACATTGTTTTGGAATGGAGAAGGTACCAAAGGGCACGGCCCACCTTACGTTCAGCTTGGGGGTTGGAGGATTCCACCTGTCAATCACTGTCTGTCCTAGCATCCACTTAGAGTGGCCCAGCCTGCCCTCTAGCTCAACAGGCCTATTTTACCTGTTCCAAGGTTATTTGTCCCTGGCTGGGGACAAACAAGGTTGTTAGCATTCAGCTGCTAACCAAAAGGTTGGTGATTTCAGTCCACCCAGAACATCCCTAGAAGGAAGACCTTTGAAAACCCCAAGGAGGGTGGGGAAAGAGCTCAAAACGGGGGAAGTTGTAGAACAGAATTTCAAATTCTCATGGAATCCAGACTTTCTGGATTCATAGAGGCTGAACGAATCCCTGTAACTGGTGTCCGGAGATAACCTTTAAACTTTAAACCAAAACTATCGCCTGAACTCTTCATTAAACCAAGCACTAGTTTAACTTAATTAGCAAAGAATGTCTGCTCTGAGAATCATGATCTTTCAAGAAAGATCTGTATGGGGTCTACGTGACCCACAGCCATTTGAGAGGGCCGGTAAGAAGCTTAAAGGGATGTGAGCTTGTGTTTAGGGAGGAGGGACAACTCAGGATAGGGGCATGAGAATGACCACGCGCAGCTTGATGAATGTCCTCAGCGTCACTGAATTGTACGTGTAGAAACAGTTGGATTGGTGTGTATTCTGCTATATTTTCAGCAACACCAAAAATAAAATGAATTATTTTGAAAAAAGAATTAATATATTCTCAAGGAGCTCTGGTAGCAGAGTGGTTACGAATCGGGCTGCTAATCTCACAGTCAGCAGTTCTAAACTACCAGCTGTTCCGTGGAAGAAAGATGAGGCTCTCTGCTCCCGTAAAGATTTACAGCCTCGGAAACCCTATGTAGGGTCGCTATGAGTCGGAACCGACTCCACGGCACACAAATCACCCCCACCAATATATACTCAACAACAACAAAATAGATTTTTATGAATCCCAATTCTGCTCTGACACATGTGGGGTCACTATGAGTCAGTGTCCACTCAATAGCGACTTGTTTTTATTTTTTAAAAAGGTCCATCGATATACAATGTTAAGTGCTCAACTGCTAACCAAAAAGTTGGTGGTTCGAACCCTCCAGCCACTCTGTGGGAGAACGATGTGGCAGTCTGTTTCCCTAAAGATGACAGCCCTGAAAACCCCGTGGGAAGTCCCACTCTGTCCTGTGGAGTCACAATGGGTCAGAATTCACTTAGCTGAAATGGGCTTGGTTTGGAGATATTTATATATACATATATAGGAATGAAAACATTTCCCATTCCAACATTTTTTTACATTCAATTACACAGTCCTGGAGGCCTGGTGTGGTGCTGTGGGTTAATGTGCTAGACTATAGGTCAGTTTGAACCGTAAAGTCAGTGATTCAAGCTCACCAGTCACTCTTGGAAACCCTATACAGGGTCTCTCTGAGTCAGAACAAAACAGTAACATAGGGTCACTATAAGTCAGAATTGACTCAACCGAAATGGGCTTGGTTTGTAATTATTTTTTTTTTTCTGTTGTCCAATGCATTACCCCCCAGCACCGTACCAGGACTTCATATATATGGTTTGGCACCATAGGATAAGCGCTCAACCTCAAGGTTGGTTTGAACCACAAGTCGATGGTTGAATTCACCAGTTGCTCCTTGCAAATCCCGTACAGGGCTGCTATGAGTTGGAACCGACTCGACGGCACTCAACACCAACATATATATATATATGAAAACATTTCCCATTTCCACATCAGGGTACTTCTTTCTTCCAGCTCCAGGACACTAACAGCTTGGTAAAGAAATTCAAGTCTCTCCAGAAGTCTGCTCATAGACGAAGGGGTCAGGGGCATAACACCATCAGGAGTCTGGGGTACCTGGGTAGAATGCATGCTCCACATATTTAGGCATAGGGAAGTTCTGTCTCCAAAGAGACACACTCTGCATCATCAACATTTCATTCCTGACAACATGCGATAATTTCTTCTGCTCTTTGTTCGAAAACAGTGAAACTATTTTTGAAGCGTCATCTAATAATAACTGCATAGTCAACTCAGTGAAAGTTTTCATCTGGCCAGATTGTTCATTTTGCAACATCTGTTTATATTTTAGGTGTGTTCGAGTATATTCAGGAAATGCGAGAAATTCTATACGACTTGCAGACCCGGATGCAAAAAGCAAAGCAAAATATAGATGCGATTGCCCAGGCCATGAAGGTGAGCACAGTGTAGAGCAGGTCTTGAGTGGTACCCCAGGAGGAGGTCTGGGCAGGAATGAGTCTGTGTGCAGATGCTCATGGGAGGCACTGCCTTGTGGCAAAGTCAAGTGGGCCCATGCCACCGAATGCAATGGTGCAACAGACGTCTAAGTGGTCGCCACGTGGGAAGAGCCCAGGCCACTTTGTAAAATCCAATTCTTGTCTGTTCTGCTGAATTCAGCAAACGTGTGCGGGTCTACCAAGCTGGTACTAGGAACACTGAGTGGACAAGACATCTGTTAAGCTCATCCCTGCCTGGAATAAGCTCGTTGCTCTATACAGAATCAATAGCTTTTGAAACCGGGGGAAACCCTTCACTAGCCTCTCTCATGGTCTGCCATCAACACCCTCATTTGCAGACATTTGTAGCCATAGGGCGAAAAGAAATCTTTAAACACCATCACCACCAAAGAGTCCTGATGTGGCACTTGGGGTTAATGCGCCAGACTGTAAAGCCTTTGAACTGCAAGGTCAGCAGTTCAAGCTCACCAGCTGCTCCTCGGAAACCCTACACAGGGTTGCTATGGGTCGGAATCAACTTGATGCCACTTTACAACCACCACCAATAATTTTCAGTCTCTACAGTGTAAACCCCATTTGATTTTTTAAGCGATCCATTTAAGCTGTTATTTCTCTATCAAAACTAAATAGTCACAGTGCCCCCCGCAAGCCCCACGATAGGCCCTGACTAAGACAGGGCTTCCTGTTACTGTGATTCCACCAGCCGCTGCGACTCCCCCAAGCTCCATCATGCAGAGTCTCTGGTTCTATTGATTTTCTCATTGGCATATCTTTCTTCTAGTTCAAACCTCCGTTGACTTGTCATGGGGCTGAACTTTCTTTCCTACATTATAGTATTCCCTTCATCATCCACTTAGGTTTACACCATAGGAAAAAACCGAATGCCTGCCACCCTTTGTTTTTCTGATTCCATTTTCTTTTGAATGGACTAGCTGCTCACGGAACTTTCATCAGAAAGGGTGCAGCAATCGTGACATATATGTTTAGTCCTTGCTTCTCCCCAAATGTTTACTTTTCACCTCACCTACAGCTATCCTGTCCAGGGGGAAGGATTTTTGTAGTCCCTGGGTGGTGCAGCTGGCTAAGCGCTTGCCATATTAACTGTAAAGGTTGGCAGGTTTGAACCCACCCAGAGGTATCTCAAAAGAAAGCCCCTAGTCATCTACTTCCAGGAAGTCAGCCACAAAACCCCCCTGCGGAGCACAATTGTGCGTTGACACACTTCAACTCATAGCAGCGTTCACAACAGCAACCGGCAAAACACGATGAAACAATGACGTCCGTGCTTTTAAAAAAAACTATTATCATTTTCTTGTTGCTGAGAATATACACAGCAAAACATACACCAATTCCACCGTTTGTACGTGAGTGACTTGGTGACGTTGACGGCATTCTTCACATTGTACAACCCTTCTCGTTTGCTTTGCAAAGTTGCTTCTCTCGCACTGGTACAAACTCACTACACCCTCACGTTCCTAGCTGATCTTTCAAGTTGGTGTTGTCAGTTTGGTCTCACGCAGACGACAGAGTTTTGAGCAGAAAGATTTCCTGGGCAGTGATTTGTGAAAACCACAGTGAGGACATGCTTACCTACTCAAGGGTTCCCTTTCTAAGTTACCTATTCCAAGATCTATCCCAGCCACATAGAGATTAGCCGCATGTAAGAACATCAGAGACGGAAATTTACATTTTCAAAAGACTGGCGGGACTTCAGTGGTTGTGAGCTTTGGAATCAATTAAATATAAAGAGCTAAGCTTATAACTTTAAACTATGGTTGTAAAGGAGTCCTGGTGTGGTGCGGTAGGATAAGCATTAGACTTTTAATAGCAAGGTTGCTAGTTCAAATCTACAAGCTGCTCCTCAGAAACCCTATACAGTCACTGTGAGTCAGAACCAGCTTGATGGCACTTAACAATACCACAAATGGTTGTTAAAAGTCTACATTCAAAAGGCAAAAGCAATATGTGTATGGAAATGTGCACATTAGAACCACTGGCCGTGGTAATAACCATACCCATAATGGAGGATGAGGAGGGGAAGGCGGGGCGGTGGAAGTAGAGAGACGCTAAAAGCGTGCACGGGAATGAGACACATTTAAAATACAGCTTTGGTGAGCTTGGTGAGAAGTACTGTGCCATCGAGCCAATTCTGACTGACCGTGACCCCACGTGACCTGCTCCATAGGCCTTCCATGGGTGGGATTTTGGGGGGAGCAGACCTTCCAGGTATTTTTCTCTCAGAGTGGCAGCTGGTGGATTTGAACTGCTGATCTTTCAGTTCGCAGCTGAGTGTTTAAACACAGTGCCACCAGGGCTCCTTAGACATCGTGGATGATAGATTAAAATCAAAACTATAATTCTGGGTCAACATTGTAATTCTTATGTAATCAAATATCGCCAGAGTTCCTAATAGGAATGCCAGAAACCCAGACCCTCCCTGTCCCTTCCCTGCTCCCCTCTGTCCCTCCCCAACTCTTTCGACATGTCAGTTGCCTCTGCAAAGGGACTTATCTCCCAACTGGCCCTTCAGTGGCCTCTACGGACCATATACCCCTCATCAAACAAGGGGTTTCAATGCTTCTCCCTCAAGAGGGTGACCTGTGGTTCCCCTAAACCTTGACTGCTCTGCATTAAATCATCCAAGGCCCTCAGATCAACAGTCTGCTCGTCCTTAGCAGCCTTCAGAGTGTGCAGAGCCCAGGAACTGAACTTCTCCTCTCCTGAGTCAGCCAGCCATGGGGACAGTCACACTAAAGAGCATGATGGTGAAGGAGCAAGACCCCAAAAGCATTTTCTCCCAAACCCAGTCTCACTGTGATGTCTCCCTTTCAGGACTGGTCAGCCAACCCGATGTTTGAAAGAAAAGACAACAAGAAAGATGCCCTCCTAGACCTGGACGGGAGAGTGACCAACCTGAACAAGCGCTACGCAGCGGTCAAGGAGGCTGCTGTGAAGATCCAAGCCATGGTGGCGGTAGGGAGATGCCAGGGGTCCTCTAAGAGCCCACTTGCTGTCAGTAGAGAGGCGAGAACAAAGGCAGAGCTCAATGCTTCATTAAAAATGACAAGCTACACATTTTATGTAACTGTCCCACCACGAGGACTCCAGTGTACAGAGAGCTTTTCCCAGTTCTGAGACATGGGGCGAGGAGGATCCTGTTTTCTGCATCTCTCCACTATGTGTCTCCTTCCTGGGGTCATTCTTGGAGGATGCAGAAGGTGAGACACACTTTGGGGAGTCAAAGCAGCCATCTGTAAAGTGGGTACACATGTCCATGACTTGAATTCCTTAGGAAAGTGAACAGGAAGCTGGGGCCACTTGGCATGGTCCTGGGGCCACTTGGCGTGTCTGACTCTCTGCCATCTGAGAAAGTCTTGGTCTTACAAGAGTAGATCATCTTGACTGTACTCGGAAGCCCTTGCCCCCTCTCGTGCTGTGTGTCCCAGTCCTCCTCGAGTCTAAGGGTGCCAAGCACCCATCCTGCTCAAGGTGGTGGCGGCAGGCAACGCCTTCACAGCTTGTTGGCTTTCTTCTTTAGCTTTTTTTTTTCTTGTGATTTGGGTGAAAACTGGTTTCCCACTCAACAATTCATACACATTTTGATTCATGACATGAAATGCAACCTCCACCCTATAAGAGCGCTCTTCCCGCTTCCTCACTGTGTTTCCTGTTTCGAAACATCTTGTTTTCTGGGAATAAGCTGCTGCTTGTCTGATGCCCTTGATGGGGTTTCTGCCACACACAGCAACAATGAAGATGGAGAAACAGCTATCTGACTGTGTACGCTTCATGCATGGATGCCAACACGTTCAGATGGGCGTGGTATGAAAATACGCCAGCCTGGATACCTAGACCATGGATGAATTCCATTTTGGACCATTTTGTCTCCACGGTCGCTGGGTCTAGGTCCCTGCTGACCTCTGAAGTCTTAATGATTGGCCCAGGTTCCTGACATCGTGGGGGGTTCATTCCTTCCTAACTGGTAGCTGTCTTATCTAGTTCACATGTTAGCTGGTTTCTGAGGTGAATGTGGAAGGCAGAGCCCAGCATTGGACTGAGAAAAAACACATTCTCCTTGGGGCTCACAACGTTTTCATGGTAATCTGGGCACTTCCAGGCCATGGTGCAAATTATTGGTGGGACTTTAATGGGTCTACTGGGACCAACCAGAGGGCTTCCATGGTGGGGGTGATCTAGTGTCAGCTGACACCAAGGCCTTGTCACCGCGGGTGGGCAAGGGCTGATAAGGCCGTAAGTGAACGAACCAGCAAGACTGCAGCCAACCGCAGGCTTCTGTCTGCAGGAAAACGCCGAGCTGTTCAAAGCCGACACCACCAGCCTGTCCTGGAAGGATTACGTCAACTATATTGACAATATGGTCTTGGATGAATTTGACCAATTTATTCGAAAATCTTTAAATTACCTGATGAACAACATGGTTGCAGACGTAAGTTTTCAATGTCAGGGAGCTAACGTTTGGGGTCTCCTGGTGGAAGGAAAGACTGTGTTGGAATAAAGGAACAGACTTAGGGTGACCGACTCACCCCAGTTTTCCCGGGATGGTCCTGGTTTTAAAGTTGAAAGTCCGGCATCTCAGGAGTGCTCCCGGGTGAAGGGGACCCCCTAGGAACCTGCTCCCCACAGCAGACCCTGCCTGGCATGGACGGCAGGGCATGGAAAGTTGTTGAGTGGAGAATGTGGCTTGTTCCAGGACAGTGTGGCTCCCCTGTTCGAAGTCCGAATGGAGCTGGATGAGGACGGACTGGCCTTCAACCCGTCCCTGGAGGTGGGCGCGGAGCAGGGCTTCCTGGCATTGGTTGACAGTCTGGTGAATGACATGTACAACGTGGCCAAGCTCATCCCCCGACTGTCCAGGGGCAGAATGAACTACAAGGTGAGTTGTGCCATCCTCGACTGGGTGCTGGCTGCTCCCAGGTCAGCCTCAGAGCCAGCGGGTCGGTTGCATTTTAAATGAAGGTGCATCTCGTGTACCGTGAGATGTTCCAGACAGAAAGCCAGGGCCCCCATTCCAGAACTCCGCCGTTCTCCCAAAGCCCCCCTAGCTTCTGTCCTCCCCCAGTGCCCTCCCCTCAGCACCCCAACACTCACACACACGCACACAGCACACCACACCCCACTTCTTCCTGGGACCTGGCTCTGTTCTATCATTTGAACCCCATGATGCGCACAGCGTTCTGACTTCCACTGCCTTGCGAATCCCCAAAGCATCAAATGCACACCAATTACCCTCCAGATTCCAGATTCTGGATGTCCCACCAAACTCATCTCCTCACGAAGAGACATCCAAGCGGTGTGTTTGTTGGGACATGGTTTGTCTGACAGTAAAACAAAAGTCTGTCCACTGGGAGGGCAGTGAAATGGCCTGTGACTGCCCACATAGTGGGGTCTGTGGCCATGGGAATGAGCCAGGAGCATAAATGTTTCTCCAGTTATGGGATGATGTTTAGAATATGATTTCACTTCTGCAAACGGACACAAAGGTAAACTCTCATTTCACAGGGTTTGTGCTGTTTAGAGTGAGCGTGTACGAAACAGATTCAGCAAGATGTTCTGTGTTGTTAGGGGAGGGGAGGTGTGCACATGCGTGTGTGTACACCTCTCCCCTAACAACACAGGTATGCGTGTGCATCTGTGCAGTAGGTGTGTGCATGGATGCAGGTGTGTGTATGCGTGTGCATGTGCGTGCCTGTGTTCACACGTGTCTGCATGTGGGTATGCCTGAGTGTCGGGGGTGGGGATAGTCAGGTGAGAGCTCAGGGGGAAAGGTCAAAGTGACTGCCAGGAGGAGGTGGGGACAGTTCCCGGCTGACAGGTGGCCGACGGACACCTGATCTACTGAAGGGTGTTGGCCTGGCCCTAGAGTTCAGACGAGAGTTTGCCACCTACTGCCCAGCACAGCCCACAAGGTTCAGAGTCGGGATGTTTGATCTGGGCTCCTGCACACACACACACACACACCCTGGAGCCCTGACAAAGATTGACACGGAATAACAGTCCCATCGGGGTTCTCCAGTTCCCTAAGCTTCAATCATTGTGAGCTGGGCTTTCTTTCATTTGCAACTCGAGAGAGCATGTCCAGCTCAGACCTTGGTGTTCTCTGCTCAGTCACCCACAGGACACTCCTGTCCATGCCTCCTACCCCAAGGCCTTTGCACCTGCTCCACTTGCCTCTGCTGCCCCGACCATTGGCTCCTTGGGGCCCTGACCTCCCCTCCCCATTGATGTGATTCTCGGATGGGTGTGTGTGTGATCCAGCCCAGCTCGTGTCCTCCACGTGTCTGGCACAGCATCCAGCACTGGGCAGGGCCTAAGTGACCAGTGAATGAACGAGTGTCCCCCGCCCCCTCATCCTTATGCGTCTCTCCGTGGGCTCCTCTCACCCTTGCAGACGGACCTGGAGGACATGACAGATCTCATGGACATGAGGGAGGAGGTGTCCAGTCTGGTTATCAGCACCATGAAGGTGGCTGAGGAGTACCAGGACTCCTTTGAGCGTTACTCCTACCTGTGGATGGACGACCCCCAGGAGTTCATGAAGCACTTCCTGATCTATGGGCACTCCATCACGCCTGAGGACCTGGACGCCCGCGCCGACGAGACCCTCCCCAAGACACCCCCAACCCTTGCACAGTTCCAGCAGCAGGTGCGTTCAGACCACCTCCCGCAGACTCAGAGTCCCCGATCCTCCAGAGAAGGGGCTCCAGCTGGATTTAAAACGTGGATGGGCCCCTGGCTCTATTCTCAAAGGGCTCCAGGGGGTAGGCGTGGCATCACTGTGAGCATCCCTCACCCCAGGTGAGCATCCTCAGGTGGGTGCCCAGGTGAGCGTGCTCTGGAGTCAGAAAGTCCCCAGAGGAAAGGCAAGCTGGGGATGCCCTGTGGGCTCCCCTTTCTGACTCTTTGAACTCTAAATTTTCCTGTACGGTGAAAGTCACCCAGATGGCATGGTTAGAGGGAACCTTCCGGGTCTTCTAAGAAGAAGGAAAAGTAGCATGTAATAAAACCCTGGCTTTCCTGGTCTTGTCCCACCATAGAACCTGGCATGGAGGAAGCTGAGGCTGGGCTCCAGGCCCTGAGCCAGCACACACACACAGGATACTGAGTCCATGCTGGGGGTGGGACACTGGGGAGGAGTCCGAGGAACACTCAGTGAGGAAGCTACCCTGGGTTCTAAGCTGACGTCCAGCAAAGAGCAAGAGATGCTGAGTTGTGGGCCCTGGGTGGGAGGAAGCCCTGTGAGGATCCTGAAGGTGACCAAAGCCGAGAACGTGAGAGGGCCGAGCTGGCAGGACCTCCGCAGCGGTAGGGAATGGGCGGGAGCTCCAATGTGCCTGGAGGCTGGCCCCTGGCTCCACCAAGGTCCTGAGGTGGTGCCGGTGGCTGTGCTGCCCAGATCGACTCCTACGAGAAGCTGTACGAGGAGGTGTCCAGGTGTGAGAACACGGTGGTCTTCCAGCACTGGCTGCAGTGTGACTGCCGGCCCTTCAAGCAGGTCCTGCTCAACACCATCAAGCGTTGGAGCTTCATGTTCAAACGGCACCTGAGTGACCATGTCATCAACAGGTGGGCACCTGCCTCAAACACCTGCCCAAGAGAGCGAGTTGGCACTCCGGGGTCCCACGGTGGGCTTTCCTGCAGGGTCATGGATGGCCGTGGGTGCTCTGAGGGCAGGTCCCCTCAGCAGGCAGGTGTTGTCAGTGCGGGAGAACTCGTCCATTTCCTGAGCAGTTATGAGCACTAGAGGATGAGCAAATACTGATGCACTTGAAGGTCACCAAGGCCCCCGGGTATGGCACTGTTGGATCAGCACTGGACTGCTAACCACAAGGTCAGTGGTTCAAACCCACCAGCCGCTTCTTGGAAACCCTATTCAGGGTTGCTATAAGTTGGAAGCAACTCAATGACACTTAACAACAACAACAACAACAAAGATCCTCAGGTTGGGCAAACAGTATATGTTCAGTAACAATCTGAAGGTTGGAGGTTCTAGTCCACCCAGTGGTGCTGAGAAGTAAAGGCCAGGTGACCTGCTGTCATAAAGATCACAGAGCACTTCTCCTCTAACACCCAGGGCACCATGAGTCGGCATCTTCTTCATGGGCACAGGTTCTGGTTTGGGGATTTCTAGTTGATTGGAGCCATGGAACATAGAGGCCATGAGAGAGTGTGGCCTAGTGGAGCTGTCTGAGAGGCGGGTGAAGGTCCACAACTAGGACTTGGGGCTCAGTTAGAGCTCAGCAGGCAGAGAACAGGGGACGGTGTAGGCTGGAGTGCAGCATTCGAGAAAGCCTGAGTGGACAGAGTCCACTCCCCGACCCCCGAGGTAGCCCTCACTGCCGTCCAGTTACAGTGGCTCCTGAGTGCCCCACAGAGGGCTGAGTCCCCTAGACGTTTCCTTGTCTTGCAGCCTCGCCGACCTGGAGACCTTCATGAAAGTCGCCAGGATGGGCTTGAGCAAGACGCTCAAGGAGGGGGACTACGATGGGCTGGTAGAGGTCATGGGACACCTGATGAAGGTCAAGGAGCGGCAGGCCGCCACTGACACCATGTTCGAGCCTCTGAAGCAAACCATCGAGTTGCTGAAGACATACGGCGAGGAAATACCTGAGGAGACCCTACTGAAGCTGCAGGTGTGCAGGTGGGGGGAGGGGAGATACCTGAGGAGTCCCTATTGAAGCTGCAGGTGGGCAGGGGGAAGGGGGCAATGGACAAGACTTCAGCCTGCCTGGTAGTGGATGCTGAAGGCTGACACCACAGAGAAACTTGGAGTGCATTCCTGCAGAACGGGGGGGGCGCAGGCTAGACCAGGTGTCCCTCCACTGATGGTGGTTTGGCTGGATGGAAGTTGTCTCTGGGTCCACCTGGGGCTGGTCCAGGTGCCAGGTCATATGGTCTCAGAGGGATTTACTTACGAGGTGGCAGGGGCCTCTCACGGGCACCAGCAGAGCCCCATGGGGTTAGAGCCGCAGCAGTCAGGCCTGGAGGACAGCGGAGGAGCTGCCCCAGAGACCCCAAAACACTGCCCAGTTTCCGTCGGGGATGTGCAGGGCCCCAGCTCTGGTCGAGGGGGCTGGATGATCAGGCACACAACCCTTTACAGGGGGTCTAGAAAATGTCAACTGTCTGTGTCAAAGAGGAGGGGCCCGAGGCCATTGTCCCCAAAACCACCCATGAACATGCCCAACAAGTAGAGCCCGCTGTGCCCTCTGCTGTATCTGTCCCGGAATTGTAATCTCTTCCCAGGGGCCGCCAATCCGCCCCATTTGTTCCCTCCTCACCCGTTCCTTGTCTCTGTCCCAGCTCTGTGTCTGGTGCCCCTGTGAATGCTCATGGGCTCCAAGCCCAAGACCCACAGCCCGGGGGGCAGTGGGGGAAAGGGAGGGGATGATGGACAAAGGCATCTGGACACACTGGACCACACAGAGCAGGCAGCCTCAGCCCAGCTGCCCCGACCCTGCTCCCAGCCTGCTGCATCCAGCAGTACACACACCTGTCACCTGGCCCCAGGCCCAGGGACAGCTGTGACAGAAATGGTCTCTGAGGAGGCCCACTCCCAGCCAAGCACGGAGACCATCAGAAGCATTCATCTTAGAGGACGTGGAAGCCTCCACTCTGTTGATGGGCAGAGGACTGGTAGACGGGGGGCTGATTTTTCCTTTAAAATATTTTCTTGTGCATCCAAGCACAATGTATGTCCATGGTAGAGACCTTGGAAAACATCAAAACTCATTTGATGACTAGAACAATTTTCGAAATGGCAAAACTATAGAGATGGACAACAGACGAGTGACTGGGAGGGGGGTGGAGAGAACAGAATGGAGGAGGTGGTGTGAGTATACAGCTGAAAGGAGCCCTGGTGGTGCCGTGTTTAAGTACTGATCTGTTAACCAGAAGGTCAATGGTTCAAGCCCAGCAGGTAGCTCCTGGGGAGAAAGACAAGTTGATCCCCTAAAGATGGCAGCTTTGGAAACCCTATGAGTCAGAACCAGCTCAACCACAGTGAGTTTTGTGTTTTGGTTTGGTGGTGCCATGCTTAATAGGCTGCTAACTGAAAAGTCGATGATTAGAACCCGCCAACGGTTCCTGGGTAGAAGATAACCTATGGAGCAGTTCCACGCCATCACCAAGAATCAGCAAGCCAGAACTGACTCGACGGCACACAACGGCTACAACATGAAAAAGATACGACGTTAGGAACAGAAACTCAGAAAGCTTTCGGCTGCATTGTGGTTGGGGACCCACAATGGAGTCGAGATTGTTGTAGCTGTTAGTCGCTGCTGAGTGACCCCACGCACAATGGAATGAAATGCTGACCAGTGGTGCAGCGTGCCCACCATCACTTGCAGACCAGACGGTGCCAGGGACTGGCCTCGATATAGGAACTTGGTTCACGGGGAGGGGATACCTGGCGGCAATAGGGATAGCAAAAGAGACACAGAGACGCAAAGAGAGAGACAAAGAGACACTGCGAAACCAGAGTGAATGCTGGACTGGCATCAGGCAGATCCTGCGTTGCAAACATCTCAGCCACGAAGGCCATAATATCCTGCATAGCAAACATCTTAGCTAAACAGGCAGACTGAGCCCCCTGCATGCTGTAACGCACGCCTTGCCAGTCGTAATGCACCTGGATTCGTTCTGCGCCTTCCTTTTATTTAGGGGAGGTACTTTACACAAAGCTAGGAGGGGACTAAGACAAGGTACAGCTGTCAATCTTACTTTTCCAGACATTCAGGCAACTTTACATCATACTTTGCAGGTTCAAATCTCAGGACTGCAACTTGGTTTCTCAAGCTTAATTAACATACCTTTTAGCACCTAGCCTCAAATGGGGGGAGGAAAGGGAGGATTCCCATTGTGTCAGCTGCCCAGGCCCGGTTCTTCGGGAAAAGAGGCACCTGGGTGAATAGGCAGCACCTGGAAACACTTTAGGGAGGGCATTCCTATTGTCCTTAGAACAGAGACCAGGGAGCCACCCAATTTACTTTGAATGAATTCTCTGGGGGAAGAACTTTGCCTGTTTGGAATTTTACAGTCTTGACTTTTAGGAAAATATTACATTTATCTGTGGATATCAAGGGCTTCGTGTATGCAATTAATAAATATAACTGAACACTAAGATGAAAAACAATTTGCTATAACTGCTAGGTACTAGAGGCTGTTCCTCAGAACCTGCAGCCTGTAACACTTGGGCCCTGTGGGCCTCGAACTTCTGACCAGGTTTACACAGTCTGCAACAAGACTGTAGTGAGCCATAGGGTTTTCCTGGTCAGTGTTAGACTGGAAGTCCCACTAAAACCTAGCAATGTGTCAGCCTCCACGAGAGACAGGTGATAGCTGCACATGAAACTGAACCCTGACCATCTCTGCCCCTATACACACCTATGTGTGGGCTGGAATAGCACAGAGGTACGCCCAGTACACAAATAGATGGAGGTCAAAACCCATTTAGGTGAAGAGTGCTTACGTTCTGTAGTCCAGTTAACAGGTCCAAGCCTGGCTTTGGTGTTGAACCACCACTACATCATAAAATGCCTCCTTGGGGAAGCTGGGTGCAAGGTGCTTAGGACTCTCTGTGCAGTTGTTGCAATGTCCTGTGAGTCTGTGACTCTTTTTCAACAAAACACACTCACTGCCAGGGAGTGGGTTCCGCCTCAGCTACCTGAGAGAAGCGGAAAAAGGAGATTCGGAGGACCGCTGCCTTAGCCTTGGCCTCCCACAGGAGCTGCCAGAGCAGTGGGCGAACACCAAGAAAGTGGCCATCCAGGTGAAGCAGAACGTGGCCCCCCTGCAGGCCAACGAGGTCAACATCTTGAGGAGGAAGTGCCAACAGTTCGAGGTGCCGCAGGGCCCTGTGGGGAGGCGGGGACTCTTGGCTCCTTCCCCGGGTCTGACCACGTCTCCACCCACGCTCTAACACAGCTCAAGCAGTACGAGTTCAGGGAGAAGTTCAGACAAGACGCGCCATTCTCTTATAGTGACCCCAACCCCTACAAGTCCCTGAACAAGGTATGTGCTCAGAGATGGGCTCAGATCCCACTCTGGGGACCCCTGGACTTACTTGTCCCTTCTCCAGCTATTGTAAACATGTGTGAGTGCATGTATGTATGTTTATAAGTGAGTGTTTCTGCAAGTGTATACCCATGCATGTGTGTGGGAAGTGTGTATCAGTGTCTTTGTGTGTATCCATGTGCATGTGTGTACTCATAACTGTGTGTGCACATGAATGCATTGTGTGCATGAGGTAAATGTAGAAGTAAGTTACATGTGTGTACATGTGTGAGTGTGTGCCTGTGTGTGAGCATGTATGTGAGTGTGTGCACATGACAGTGTATGTGTGACTGTACACAGAAGTGTATATGCATGTGCATGTGTGAGTGTGCATGAGTGTATACACATGCATGTGTGATGTACACACATGTGTGCATGTGCCCACCTGTGCAGGAGTGAGAGAGAGTGTGTGTAAACATGGGTACATGTATGTACACATGTGTGCTTGTGTCCATCTGTGTGGGAGTGAGTGTGTCCACACATGTGTACATGTGCATGTGCACAGGTGTGTGTACATGTGAATGTGCACCCATGTGTGTACATATATCCATCTATGCAGAAGTGAGTGTGTGTGTGTATATACATGAGTGCATGTGTGGTGTACACACGTGTGTACACATCTGTACAGGAGTGAGTGTGTGTATACATGAGTGTATTTGTGGTGTACACATGTGTGCATGTGCCCATCTGTGCAAGAGTGTGTGTAAACATGGGTACATGTGTGTGCATGTGTCCGTCTGTGCAGGAGTGAGTGTGTGTACACACATGTGTACATGTGAGTGCATACAGATGTGTGCATGGATGTGTACAAGTGAGTGTGCACCCATGTGCAGGAGTGAGTGTTAGTGTGTGTATACATGAGTGCATGTGTGGCGTACATATGTGTGTGTGCATCTGTACAGGAGTGAGTATGTGTGTGTATACATGAGTGCATTGTGGTGTACACATGTGTGTGCGTGTGTCCGTCTGTGTAGGACTGAGTGTGTGTGTACACATGTGTGCGTGTGTGGCGTACACACGTGTGTGTGTCCATCTGTGCAGGTGTGAGTGTGTGTACACATGTGTGCATGTGTGGTATACACGTGTGTGCGTGTGTCCGTCCGTGCAGGAGTGAGCGTACATGTGAGCGTGCACAGACATGGACCTTGTGGGTGCTGCAGTCTGCTTAGTGCCCCCTAGGCTTACAGCTCCGGCCATCTGCCCACCTGCCTAGAGAGCCCACCCTGTCTCTGAGCCCACTCTGCCTCCCACGTCCCCATTCTGTCCTTCAGCAGTTTCCTGGGGCCCAGCCTTAGACCCTAACCATCCCACCTCCTTCCTGTCCCCCCTTGCGCCCCCAGCAACAGAAGAGCATCTCTGCCATGGAAGCCATCATGGAGTCTCTGTCCAAGTCTGGGAGCCTGTTCGAGGTCACCGTCCCAGACTACAAGCAGCTCAAAGCCTGCCACAAGGAGGTCCGCCTGCTGAAGGAGCTCTGGGACATGGCCGTATTGGTGAGGCCACCAGGGGGCACCGCTCCCTATCCTCCCACCTGACATTCACTGGAAGACCCTGAGAGGGGGCCACGCAGTGAAGACCCTTCTGAGTAGCCTGTTCTCTGTCCTCACGCTCCTCTTCTTCCTCGTTTTTCCCTCCTCCCTCACGCTCTCTCCCTTCTTCAGTTACTTTTCTTTATTCTGTGAGAATTGTCACTCAATACGGGGTCACAGCCACCATGACCATTCCGACTCAGAAGCACAGTAGTACTGCCCGGCAGGGTTTCCAAGGCTGTAACTCTTTATGGACGCTGACCGCAGCATCTTTCTCCTGAGGATCCACAGAAGGCTTTGAAGCATCAACCTTTCCGTTAGCAGACAAGCTCCCCATAAAGGTGACAGCCTAGAAAGCCCTATGGGGCAGTTCTACTTGTCACATGGGGTCAGCATCCCCTCAGTGGTACCCAAGAGAGTGTAAGTGATGTGTTATTCAAAGTCAGGATGTTTCCAGGAAAATTCCCCCAAACAACTAGCCAGCATTCAGAATACGCTTAAACCTACCAGCCAGGGCCACGGATTTCCACAGACTCAGACTCTTGGGTCTTAGTGTCTGCAAAGTAAGCGTCCTATCATGTCCGAAACACTGTCCTGCTCAGCTTTGACTTTATCTCATGTGACAAGTCCGTTTTTCTGCCTAAGCACCTGCGTCCACCACGTCCGCCTCCCCCCAGGACCCTCAGACCCCCGCTCCCCACCGCTTCCAGTCCACACACAGTAAAGCTTGCCCAGAGTGATTATGTTTTATTCTCCCCATTGGGAGTGAAACGTCTTTCACTAGGGTTTTGTTTGTTTGTTTGTTTTTAAACTTTTTATTGTGAATTGAGTAATAATTTACATGAGAGAACATTGGTTTTGCACTCATCCTATCGTATTTCATTTCACTGCAATGATTATAATCCCCTCCCTACGGCATCATTCAACAGGATTTGCTTCTATTCTCTCTGGGTTTTTTGTTGTTTTGTTTTGTTTTAAATGTACACAGAAACACTCAGGAATATATAATCATTTAAACAACCAAAGGGCACATTCTACAAGCCTGCCTCCTGGCCACCAGCACTCAGTCTTTCTCTTTCCATGAGTCTAGGGTCCTCAACTGCTCCCCGTCTCCATGTCCTCATCTCTGCCTCCATCTCTGGTGTCACTGCTTCTCTGGTTAGGGTCCCACATTCTGCTCGTACTCTTCTCCCTTGATGGTCCTAGGGTCCTCTGTTCCTGTACTGTAAGATTAACTACTCCCCGCTTTTTGTTACAAAATTTCTACCTTTACAGTTGTGATGATTGCAATTAGTCATGATAACAATTCCTCACTATTGAACCATAAGAATCTTATCTCCATCTCCTTTCAGACCCATCTAAACAAGATGAAAACTATTCAGTGGGGATTCTACCTTTCCCTTGCACATTCTGAAACTAAACTCCCTCTTGAAAACTTGTAAGCCAGTCACTTCATGCTTTTATTGCCCTTCCCACCCCCCACCCCCATTTTAGGTAGCCAATGTCTAAGTTGCCCATCTCTATCAATCCTGTGTACAGAGGGGATTGGATTGATCCTTGATGTGTCACTGAGTTTTTAATCCATCAATATAAGCTAGGTTGCTCTGCTGCAAGAAACAACCAGGAAATCTCCATGTGTTTAACTACAAGGGCTTTGAGTCTCATTTATACAAAGTCCACACTCCAGTCCCAGGCAGCCCGTCTGCTCACAGGGCTCAGCATCCCTGGTGGCTTGGCTTTTAAGAGCACCTGCCAAGTATCACCAGAGTCTCCTGTGGTTGCCAAAACAACGAATGTAGAGGCGAGGAGTGTCAATCAAATGCTGCTGCCCTGGGAGTGGCAGGTATCACTGAGATTCCAGTGATCAAGACGCCAGAAGAAGACTACGCTTGGCCCTGGTGAATGGTAGCAAGGCCAACCAGAGCATTTTGCCAAAATGTCTTTTAACTGCTCATTCATGGCTAATGATACAGCTGTTGATTTTCTCCCCTACCCCCTGTATCCAACCACTTAGCTAAGTTCTGTTATTGCATCTAAGTCTCCCTCACTGGTCATTGCTCCTTCAAGAGCTGTGGCAGCAGGGGCGACCAGTGTCTCTGTGAGCCCTCCACGGTCCACGCCGCAGGGCAGACAGGTGTCTCCGTGGGTCCTCGCAGTCTACCCTCAGGGTCCACGGGTGTCTCCGCGAGCCCTTCGGAGTCCACATTGCAGGGCAGACGGGTGTCTCTGTGAACCCTCAGTAGGCAGATGGGTGTGTCTGTGGGCCCTCCACGGTCCACGCCGCAGGGCAGACGCGTGTCTCCATTCCAGGTGAACACCAGCATCGATGATTGGAAAACCACCAAGTGGAAGGATATCAACGTGGAGCAGATGGACATAGACTGCAAGAAGTTTGCCAAGGATGTGAGGTCTCTAGATAAGGAGATGAAGGCCTGGGATGCCTTTGTGGGTCTCGACAACACCGTGAAGAACATGATTACCGCCCTGCGGGCTGTGAGCGAACTGCAGAATCCCGCCATTCGGGAACGCCACTGGCAGCAGCTCATGGCAGCCACCCAGGTACTGCTTGGGGTGCGGGGGTGGCAGGCCCAGCGGGCTTGTGGGATCGGATGCTCCCACGCTCTCTGCCAGGCTCTGCTGTTCTCATCTGTCAATGCGCAGTCATTTTTGGACACTTTGCACTGGGCCCCTCAGATTACGTAGCCCGTTCTGGCTACAGGCTGAATGTCCCCAGGGCTCAAGAAGTTTGGGGAGGTAAACAGATCCTGTGGCCCACCAACGTGGTGTAGTGAGTTAACCAATGTGCTGCTAATGGCATGGTTGGTGGTTCAAACCCACTGGACGCTCCTGGAGAGAAAGAAGAGGCTGTCTGCTCCCATAAACGAGGAGTTCTACTCTATCCTAAAGGATCCCTGTGAGTTGGAATCCACTCGACGTCAGTAGGTTTGGGGTTTTGTGGCTCCCATGTGCCTCAGGAGTGTGGCGGTCAAGCACCCACATTTCCTGGAGACGCCCCCTAGTGGTGAGGCTTGGCCCGGGCACTAACAGAAAGCCATCAGGAACCCTCCCCATTCGTTGTCCACGAGCAGCTATTCCCAGAGGCCTCACCAAACACCCAAACGGACAGGGAATGCACACAGGACACAAAGAAAGACCGTCCTGCAGTTGTGTCCCGGGTATTGTGAGGTGCAGTTGAGTCGGTTCCAACTCATAGCAACACTATGGGGTTTCCAAAGAGCGGTTGGTGGGTTTGAACTGTCAACTTTATGGTTAGCAGTCCAGAGCCACACCAGGAGTCTAGGACTCCTTTAATGACATGTAAATTTCCCTTCACTTTGCTATTATCATTACTGTTAAGTGCTGTCGAATAGGTTCTGATCATAGTGACCCTGTGTAGGGTTTCTGAGGAGTCAGAACTACTAGACCTGTAGTTAACAGTCCAGTGCTTACCTTAGAGCATCACATCAAGACCACTTAATGCTGTTGTTGTTAAGAGCTAGTGCTGTCGAGTGGATTCTACTTGACAGGGTTTCTGAGGAGCGGCTGGTGGGTTTGAACTGCTGACCTTTGGGTTAGCATACGGTGCTATCCTACATCGCCATGCCATGGGACTAGGGGTGGATGATAAGAGGCTAGAGACAGCATTACCACCCTGGGGAGGGATGAGCAGATGAGGGGCTTGGAGAGGCCTGGGCCTTGGGACAGGCCGAGGGACTGGGGCGGGGTTTGTGGTAAAAGTGCTGGGGGTCAGCAGGTGGGGGCCACTCAGGGAGAAAGGAACAGGTTCAGAAGAGCCATGACCAACAAGTTCCAAAAAATGAAGTGCCATCCACAACTCTTTCAAGGAAAAATCCTTGTCAGCTGCTGCGGCGCTGGCCCCTGACTCATGGCGACCCCGTGCACGATGGGATTGGATCATTGGGACTTGCAGGGTTTTCAGTAGCTGGTGTTTGGAAGCAGATCACCAGACCTTTCTTCCTAGACTGTCTTAGTCTGGAAGCTCTATGGAACCTGCTCGGCACCCTAGCAACATAGATAGGTGCTTGAGCCCCCACTGAGAGATGGGTGGTAGCCTCCCATGGGGTACATCGGGGAGGACTTGGACCTGCTCTTCTGTGGGGTGGGCACAAATTCTACCACAGATCCAACACTGCCTCTTTTGCCTAAATCCACTTACCAGTGACCAGATATCACCAGGTCGGCGCACACCCAGAGCGCCCCCGTGTGTGTCAGAGTAGAACTGCTCCACAGGGTTTTCAGTGGCTGATTTTTTCCTTATTCGATCACCAGGTCTTTCTTCCAAGGTGCCTCTGAATGGACTTGAACCTCCCACCTTTTGGTTAGCAGCCAAACACGTGAACCATTTACACCACCCTGAGACTAAATACTGCTTCTCCACAAAGGGTTAAAAACACAAACCAGAACAGAGGTGGGCTACAAAGAACCTCATAAAATATCTTCTCCCTGCCCCACCACCCAGGTGAAATTTGAAATGTCGGATGAGACAACCCTAGCAGATTTGCTCCAGTTGAACCTACACAAATACGAGGAGGAGGTCCGCAACATCGTGGACAAGGCCGTGAAGGAGTCTGGGATGGAAAAGGTAACCCTGAAACTGACCCATGATGCTTTACTTCCCATGGTGCCCATGGTCACTGGAGACAAAAGAGTGGTAGGCTGGGCTTTCTCTTACCCAGCCTGCTGTTGGAACCTTGTATGACAGTTTCGGGATTTATTACAGATAGCAAAATAGGATTCCCTGCGGTGGCTATGTCTCCCTGCTGGCAATAGCAGGGACCCGTAAAGAGAAACTGGGCCTGCGGGCTGTTGCTCGGGGTGGGGGAAGGCACTGAGCTGATGTTAATGGGGGTGGAATGCTTTGGAAAAAGGATCTCCAAAAGGGTGGTCTAACATGAAAATACAATCAGTGACCCTGTGGTAACTGTGGTGGTGGTTATGCGCCGTGGAGTCGGTTCCGACTCATAGCGACCCTGTACAGGGTTTCCGAGGCTGTAAATCTTTATGGGAGCAGAAAGCCTCATCTTTCTTCCGTGGAATGGCTGGTAGTTTCGAACGGCTGACCTTGAGGTTCGCAGCCCAATGCATAACCGCTACGCTAGATGGCATATATTTTTTGTTGTGAATAGTCTCACCATCCTGACACAATGTTTTAAAAAGGGAAGAAATGACGCTCGTACAACACTTAGGACATAACCAGAGCTTCAGTTAAGAGCGATGGAGACCCTTGAGAATGGTCCACGGTGATGGTCGACCAGCACGTTGAGCATCTTTCATGTTGCTGATGTGTACCTGTGAACACTGTGGGAAGGACTTACAGATGTATAAAACACCCCCCCCCCCATGCATGATTTTGTTGTTGATAGCCATCCAGTCAGTTCTGACCCCAGCCCAATGTCCATGTCCAACAGAAGGAAACACTGCCCGGTGTTTGAGCCCATTGCTGCTGCCACTGAGCCAGTCCATCTCTTTGAGGGTCTTCCTCTTTTTTGCTGACCTTCTACTTTACCAAGCATGATGTTCTCCTTCAGGGTCTGGTCCCTTCTGATGACATGTCCAAAGTACGTCAGACCAAGTCTCACCATCTTCGCTTCTAAGGAACATTCTGAGTATACTTCTACCAAGACTGGTTCTTCTGACAGTCCATGACATTCAACATTCTTCACCAACACCATATTGCACATACATGCAGACACTGTTATTGTCAAGTGTCATCGAGTCATTTCTGACACATAGCAGCCCTGTATAGGGCTTCCGAGGAGTGGCTGGTAAGTTTGAAGTTCTGACCTTGAGGTTCAAACTGACCTTTCGGTGCAGTGCTTATCCTACAGCGCCATACCAGGACTCCTACATACATATTCTACGGAATACATTTAATAAAATCATCTGGACACGATTTAAGGAGCCCTGGTCACTCTGCTGGTTAGGTGCTGAACTGCTAACTACAAGGCCAACTGTTTAAGCCCAGCAGCCCCTTCCCACCCCACCCCCACCACCACCACCCCGGAAGAAAGGTGAGACTGTCTGCTCCCATCAAGATTGACTTGCTGGGAAACCCTTGGGAGGGTTGCGAGGAGTCATAATCAACTCAAAAGCAGTAGGCTTGTGCTTTTGGGGTTTGGGGTTTGGGGTTTGGGTACTCCCCTTCCACAAGTATCTCCATTGAGGTGGCTCTGTAGTCAAGTCTGACCCTTCAGAGGACTCTGGGCCCTGAACCTGTTCTGCAGAGAAGGCGGAAGGAAGATGACCCTCCGCCACACTGATAGTTGACAGAGAGCCAGTTGGTTCCAGCGGGGGCAGTTCCATTGTACGAGGGAATCCTGGAAGCATCCTTTTGCCATTCAAGCCTCTCTCCTCACGTGACTGTTCTGTGCCTTTCAATGATCACATTTTGGCTTTTTCCTACCACTCTTAGTGAAATCTCCTTCACAGAGCAGACAATGGATTGAAAGTGCCCGGTTCACTGTGGTTGTTTCATCGTCTTCAGAGTTGGGCAGCCATCACCTTAGTCAATTTTAGAACATTTCCATCATTTCAAAAAGACACACCCTCCCCTACAAACCCACTCCCCTCCCACAGCCCAAGATAGCCATTGAAATACTTACCGTGAGTAGAATGTGCCTAAGGTGGCTATTCTGTGTAATGGAATCATGTAGGATGTGGCCTTTGGCATCTGGCTTCCTACACTTCCAAAGTTTTCAAGATTACTCCACACGGTGGTAGGTGAAGGACTTGATTCTTTTTCGTTGCCAAGTGATGTTCCATTGTGCGGTCCCAGTGCCTCTTGTTCCTGCTTCCTTGGCTGATGGGCATTCGGGTAGTCGCCTGTGGGCTGCTCTGCTGATGGGCATTCGGGTTGTCGCCTGTGGGCTGCTCTGCTGCTCTGCATCGTGGTTTCTGTGACATGGGGCTTCGTCCCGACGACCTGGGAAACGCAGGGCTCCTCACCAGCTCCTGATCCAGCTGTCCCCGTGTTCCTGACAGGTGCTGAAGGCGCTGGACAGCACCTGGTCCACAATGGAGTTTGAGCACGAGCCGCATCCGCGCACGGGCACCATGCTGCTCAAGTCAGACGAGGTGCTGGTGGAGACGCTGGAGGACAACCAGGTGCAGCTGCAGAACCTGATGATGTCCAAGTATCTGTCCCACTTCCTGAAGGAGGTGACCAGCTGGCAGCAGAAGCTGTCCACGGCTGACTCGGTCATGTCCATCTGGTTCGAGGTCCAGAGGACGTGGAGCCACCTGGAGAGCATCTTCATAGGCTCCGAGGACATCCGGGCCCAGCTCCCGGAGGAGTCCCAGCGCTTTGACGGCATTGACTTGGAATTCAAGGTGGGGACAGCCCCTCCTTGGGGGCATTGCTGGGCACAGCTACCTCAGGGCTCAGGGGGCTCTTAGCACCCCAGTGGTCCTTTTCTTTCTGCAGGCATTGATGGCAGATGCCGTGAAAACGCCCAATGTGGTGGAAGCCACCAACAAGCCGGGCCTCTACGACAAACTGGAGAACCTGAAAAAGGAGTGGGTGTCTACGGCAGCCCCAGACAGGGGAGCCCTGTTCCTCACGAGCCCCTCAGACAGGGGAGCCTTTGTCCCTCTGACCCCCGCCAGACAGGACAACCCTAGTCTCCATGGCCTGCAAATTCACCCGGTCAATGGTCGATCCTCCATTTCCCTGGAAGCAAATGCTCTCAGTTCCCTCCAGCCACCCACATGCATCCACACACACACAAGTGGAGCAGGGACTTTAGTGGGGTCAGAGGGTGTCAAAGGCACAGGGAACTGTTGGGTGTTCCGAATTCAACTGGACATGTGAACAGGGAGTCCCTGGGTGATGCTAACGAAAAGGCGGAACCTGTATCTAGAGGCACCTTGGAAGAAAGGCCTGATAGTCTCCTTCCAAAACATCATCCACTGAGAACCCTGTGGGCACAGTTCTACTCTGACACACAAGGGAGCGCCATGAGTGGGATCTACTTATGAAAACTCATCCACTGAGAACCCTGTGGGCACAGTTCTACTCTGACACATGAGTGGGATCTACTTATGAAAACTCATCCACTGAGAACCCTGTGGGCACAGTTCTACTCTGACACACACAGGGCACCATGAGTGGGATCTACTTATGAAAAATCATCCACTGAGAACCCTGTG